TCAGATTTGTGCTCTTACCCACAGAATGAGCTGTAATTATGTGCTTACTGGCCCGATACTCACTGTCTGAACAATGAAGAGCATGGTTCCTAGCAGACGCGTCGCTCTGCTGAAACGCAGCTCCAGATACTTGATAGAAACAGACCCAAAAGGAAAAATAATTTGACTACATGGCCCTCACATTTACCTTTCCAGGCCTGGCACAGATAATCCCTAGATTACATTTAACTCTGTGGTCCGACTGTTTTATTCTTTTTACTACCTGCTTATATCATGCTTTTATCTTTACTTACTTTTATCTTTCTTCTATTTCATGGTTTTCATGTGAAGCACTTTGAGTTGTCTTTACTGAACTATGCAATATAGTAAACTTACCTTGCCTTGTCTTGCCTTGCAAGTCATGTTTGGTAAAGGCAGATTTGGTCATGTCGGCTGGATGTTGTCTGAATGTTGTGGTATTTCATTAACTAAGCTCTATAATCGTGTATTTTGTTTGTTTTTTATTGCTTTTATTCTGCTTTTCTGTGGTCTAATTGCTTTATTTGTTTTACAAATGTTTTTGCTTTTATTTTTCGTCTATATTATTATATAATTCATGTAAAACACTTTGAATTGTCCATGTACTGAATACAAATTGCCTTGCCTTGCCTTACCTATTTGGAAATAAAATATCCAGCTGATCTAAGCTTTGATTTTGAAATATAAGAGTAAACAGTTCTTGAGTTGATGCCCTATTTGGGCTGTCAAGACGATGGGAGAGTATGAATATATTGGAAGTTTTAGTTTAAGTTTACCTAGAAGTTGGTGCGTAGATATGAAAATGAGATTGTGTTCTAATACAATAAAATAAAAAACCTACAGACTTCTTATAGGGGAAAAGCCTGCTGAAGACCTGAGTAGTTTACTTGGCTTAGAAAATTAACCCACTTGACACATGGACTAACTGCATCAATTTGCGAAACCAGACTGACCTCATAGGTGCTTGTGATGCCCAGCTTGTAGAAAACTGGGAGAAAGACTTCAGAGGTGATCAGCATTGTGAATACATAAGAGACAGCATAAAATCCGATGCTGGCCCCGTAGCGATAAACCTGCACAGGATTTTTGATCTACTGTTAAAGTTGCACAGATGATGCAGATGATTCTATTCATCCGTCTATCTTACCTCAGCTGGGTTTGCCAAGACAGTGATGGCTGACATGAAGCTGGCAGTGAGGGACATAGCAACAGGCAGGGCGGTCAGCCTGCGACCCCCTGTCAGGAAGTCCCCCGAGCTTCTCTGGCTCCTGTCGGTCCAGGCGTAGTAGACCCCAACAGCAGCAGAAACCAGCAGCATGAGAGCAAAAACCACATAATCTGCTACAGCAAAGGAACCGACCACAGAGTTTCCTGACATTTCTGGTTGAAGAAGCCTTTTCTCTTTCTTAAATATTCTGTCTGGAAAGCAACCTAGACTCTCCCATGTGTTTAATTGTTAGAAACAGGCAGCCTTCTGTGAATAAATGGAAGTCCTGGCACATCACCTGCTCACTCAACACTGAGCTGAGGGCAGGACCACAGACCGAAACCTTTTATGTTAGTGGGTGTATGTGTTTATGTGTGTGAGGGGGAGTGAAAAAGAGTTCATGTGTTACCTTCAGGACAAGAAATATCTGTGACATTAAATGTCATTATAAAAACAAAGGTAAAATAATTATCTAAACCTTTAGACCTGGATCTTGTAGTATTTTTGTAGTTAGTTTGACCAAGAACCTGGCTATGGATATAAAGCAATTGTGCTTTTTCAGCAATTTTCTTTTAACATTGTGTAAGAAATTCCTTCTTTGTAATGTCTTATCCAATGTAACAGACCGCAGTGTACCCAGCGGCGGCTGATAAGGAACCCACCTCCAGGATTTAGATGAAAAAGGTGCTTGAGTAAACTTTGATTTCTACTGATACACTCACGGCAGGACAACAATGTTGTAGAATGTGCAAAACTTTTGTATGATTTTTGTGTGATATTCAGAATCCATTAGAGGAAAAACCCAGGTTTACAAGAAACTATTAATATACAAGAATGTAAGTGCAAATATTACTTCATATAGCTCGTGAGTAACTGAACCGTAAAAAAAAAAAAAAAAAAAGTGTTCTATTTGGTAAAAAAAAAAACAGTTCTTAATAAAAGCATTTATATATATATATATATTTTTTTTTTTTTTCCTGTTCACAAAAGCACGGCACATCATCTCCAAGAAACCATTCCCCACCATGAAACATGATAGCGGCTATCATGTTTCATGGAAAAAATAAAAAAATAAATAAAAAATAAAAAAATAAAAATAAATAAAAAAAAAAACTAAAAAAAAAAAGAAACATGATAGCGGCTGAATCATGCTGAGGGTATGCATCTCTCATTAGCATACTAAAAAAAAACGACAATGCAAAATACAAAATGCATTCCATGCTTTTTTGTTACAAAAAACACAAAGTTTAAGAGGTGTGAATGCCTTTGAAAGGCATTCTTTTTTTGTTTTAATCTAAGAAAGTATCAGCCTTTTACTGCAATACGCTAGATGTGAAATTAAAAACAGAAGAATGCAACAAGTGGAGGGATTCAAGGAGTGACAGGATGTTTCCTTTCCTAAAATTTGAAGGAGGACATGTTTCACTGAGCATGATCAATCAGACTTAGTGGACAACATAACTTCCTCTTGCTGGACCCAGGACATGGATAAAAAAATTAAAGATTAAAAAGAGTAAATGCTTTAGCCACACTTGTCCCAATTCAATTTAAGACCTGGATTCCTTTTCTGCAACTCTCTCTGTTAATAATTTACTAAATAAGTCTACCTTTAAATTTTGCCATTCTGCTGCCAAACCTAGAGATGCTACTGAGAAGAAAATTATTTTTAATACTTTCTGATTTCAAGAGAAAAACAAGTGTTTTTTACACCTGTGAAAAAAAGAAAATAAACATAATATAGAAGACAATAAAGACATTTTTTACAAATGCAAGATCTTTGGTTGGAAAGTGTTAATTTAATTGGGGTGGTGCAATGTTCTTGGAGTTTCTTGCTGAGATTTCTTCTCAACATTCTCTACTTTTTAACATGTAAAACTATTTTAACATCTAAATAAAACACTGTAATAAAAAAAAAAACACTGCCTCCAAATGAATTTTTAATAACCTTACAGACTTAGTTATCCAAAATTACAAAGCCCAAGCAAAAAGTACTTGTCCCTCATGTTAGCTGTTATCAAACACTATTTTACTTTAGCAACCTGTCTGATAAAATATGCTATAAAACTGTAAGATATCATTTCCTTTTCATTGATTGCAATTTTCGATCTATCAGTTTTGGAAATGCTTTGGCAAATCAGTTTCTAACACTTTGTGACTCAAGCAAACCGCAGTAAGAGTCATCATCCACAAATGAAGGAAACAGAGGTGAAGATAAGTCCTCTTCCTCAAAGATAACTCCACCACATCGATGATTCAACAGAGGGCTCACAAATGAACCCAGAACAACATATAAAGCACCTCTGGTCTTATTTAGCTTTGCTGAGGTCAATGTTCATGATTTAACACTAACAAAGAGACTCAGCAAAAGAGTTATGATGCAAAAAATCACCATGACCATGAAAAATAGAAAGGTATCATTCATATTTGCCAGAAAAACAATCTCTTTTTTCCCTCTCAGTTGTTATGTTAAGAGTAAACATTTTGGACGGTCACATTAGAAAAATTATACTTGAACATGGAGGTGGTAGAATAATGATCTGCAGGTTGTTTCCTCTTAGAGCTTTGGAGACTTGCTTTATTTGAGCCTAAAATATCTGAAGGGAAATGTCAGGCCATGAGTATCCAAATGTTATTCTAATTTATCCAAAATAAAGTGATTTTTATTGGGACACAATAAACATCATGGCGAGAGAGCAGCATCAGCTGACTTTTAAAGGGGGGAAACTGGCTATATGTGTCTAGCAGTGATGATGGAGTGATGACATATATATTTTATGGGACCAGCCAACAACAGGTTTGCAAAACAATTTAAGAATTGGCAGCAGAAGCTCAGATTTTACTGGGTTTATAACAGAAATGTGTTGTAAGGGAGGAAATTGATTAATTATTTTTGGTGTAAACCACTTACTGTTGGCAAAATTGCTTTTTAAGGGTGCTAAATATGAATATAAATAGCCTAATGATAATCTCGTAGATCATACTCCAGATTTTCTTTTTCTTTTTTTCACAACTACAAGCTAGCACAGGGGTCTTCAATGTTTTCCAGTCCAAGGACCCCCAAACAGATGGAGCGGGGACCCCTAATTATATTGTGTAAAATGGTGTTATATCAAACTTGTCCCATAGTCACTCTATTACATTTGGAGTAATGTAACTAAAGTAATTTCTCCCTGGGATTATTAAAGCATTTCTGATTCTGATTCCTCATGATGAGACAGGTGTTGTGAATGAAACGGTGCCCAGCTTGAAAAAGCTTCTGTGTGACGCTGAATGTGTGCATTGATGGCTGAAAGACAACTTCTGCCTCCATTAATCTGTTTACTACAGTGTGTTGAATTCATGTTAATATGTATTTAAAGACATTTCAATTAGTGGAAGAAAATTGCCCTGATTCAAGTCTAATCAACCAAAACTTTTGCGAACCCCATGCAGTACCCCCATGGAACCCCTAGGGGTCGCGGACCCACTTTTGAAGAGCTCGGAGCGAGCATGTACTTGTTTTCCTAAAAAAAAAAAAAAAAAAAAAAAAAAAAAAAACACGTAATTTGATATAAAAATACACTTGATATAGATTATTCATAATAGATTACAAATAAACACTCTAAGTTCTTGATAAACTAAGCTTTTAAGTAAGTGTCTTAAGCTATAAAATAAAAGAAGAGAAACGTTGGAAAGAATAAGCGAAGCCGGAAGTGATCTGAGCTGTACTCTCGCGATTTTACCTCCTCGGCTTCCGCCACGAGGTTTAGCTTCTTTTTTCTTACCCACAATGCATTGTCCAGCATGGCTGCGCCCTTGTGTCGGCGTGTGTGTAAACACTTGTAGAATTTCCTGCAGCAAAAACAGAGAAACTGAGGACTTTATGACACGTTTCCATCTTCTATCGCATTTCGGTATACATTTCGTCTGTTAGCAACCTCCGAGAGAACAAAATGAAGATCAAATCCAAGTCTTCCAATCACAAATCTGAGAATACCCACAGGGTGAGAGACTGCAAACTGAATGTAGCATGATGCTAACACATCATTACTGTTGATCTGATTTAAATCTACAGATGTGGTGTATTAAATTGAATAAAAGTGGCTATTTTTATGATGTTATTTGAATCAAATAATTATATTAGTATATTATAGCATGTTAACTTTGGGTCATTATGGCTGTTTTACACCCTTCTTTGTTTTGCAGTTTCTCACATTTGCTGAAAGACTCGCCAATGTCAACATTGATGTCATCCATCGAATCGACAGGACTGGATCTTATGCTGAGGTTCGCACTCATCACTTCCCCTCTATCTAGCTGTGAGCTCCACTGTTTGACTGAGGATTGTTTTTGTTCTCTTCACAGGAGGTAGACACATACTTTTCAGAGGGGCTGACAAAATGGAGAGACCTCAACTTAACAGAACATTTCAGTGAGTATTATCTTAAATACGTTCCTAAAGGCACACTCTGTGCCGAAGAAGGGAAGAGGAGGTTTTATTTTATTTATAAGATTTGATTTCTTGTCGTCGACCAACCCAGACTGAGAAGAGGAATATGATTTTCATGAGCAAATCAGGAAAACAAATATGCATAATCAACCTAAACTAATCACCCCCTCAGTGAAACACAGTGGTAGCAGCATCCTTTCATTTTTTCCAATGCATTATGAGGTTTCTCTATTAAAGCCATGCAAACACTACGATTTTTTTTCAATCATTGCACATAGCTGCAGCTCACACAGTGCGAGTTCAAAGCTCACGATGTATGTGCAGCATGATGGTCTGATGTGATCTACCTGCTCACACTGTACGTCTAAAAACCATGTTGTATTCAGCTCCGCAGTTAGATGGAGCTGCTCTGACTCGTCTATCTGGAAGCTGAACGAGTAGAAGGGGAATATTAAGCTCACTAGAGTGAAACGCGCTGCCCTGGCGATTAGTGCAATTTTGTGCTGAAAGTCCTAAAAAGAAAAGGTGATGTCATATTTGGACAAAGACATGGCTGAGCAAACATGGCTACTACGATCTGTCCATTTCACTCATTGCACCGCCACCAGGCTTCTGTGTTTGCGTCTGAGAAGAAGAGTCCTTGTTTGCGCATGCCCACTGAGCGATTTGCCCACGGTGGTCGGGAGGCTGATTGCCCCTCGTTACCCCCCGTACACTACACGACGCACGATCAGGCTGAAAGTCAGCTCGATTTAAATTTCTCGCACGACTGGAAAAGGGCAAAAAAAAATTGCACAGTGTAAGCCCGGCTTAAGGGATCAAGAGGAATAAAATTTTGGCTCTCCCCTGTCTTCTTAGCTACGTTTTTGAAAGAGGTGGCCAACAAGAGCCAGTCCTTCAACATGCTGGTTTTCCATCAGAAGTCCATCGTGGAAAGCCTCAAAACCCATCTGGCAGTCAAAAACAGTTTGGCCTATCAGCCCCTGCTGGAGTAAGTCTTTGTAGATGTCCTTTAATCTGTGCTTTAACAGTTTAATTTAATTCTGTTTTTATTCCTTCCCTCCAGTCTGGTGGTGCAGCTGGCTAGAGACCTGCAGACAGACTTTTATCCCCACTTCCCTGACTTTTTCCTCCTTGTCACGTCCCTGCTGGACACGAAGGACACAGAGGTGCTTGAGTGGGCTTTCACCTGCCTCTCTTACCTTTATAAGTATCTGTGGAGGCTCATGGTGAAGGATATGACCAACATCTACAGGTGAGGCGGAAGCTCTGGGTCAAACTCCAGACTTTCCTGTCTGATAATTCACCAGTGTTTGTAAAGGTCTAGGGAAAATTAGTCAAAGCAAGTCTGGATAGTAGCTTATTTTTTAAAATGTGTTTTGTGAAACTGCCTGCAGTTGAGCTGTTACTTTAAAGCAATACCTTCTATCTACAGTTTGTACAGCACATTATTGGCACACAAGAAAGAGCACATCCGTAACTTTGCAGCTGAGAGTTTCTCTTTTTTGATGAGAAAGGTGAGTCAGTCAAATAAATGTCCCTCCTCTCTGGAATTCAGTATTTCTCATTAAGTAAATCGTTTTTATGTTGTTGTTGTGAATAAACTAAAGTTTAGTTCCATCTGGCAGGTTCCAGATCTGGATGCTTTGTTTAATCACATTTTCTCAGACCTGGAGCAGCATCCAGAGAAAGTGGAGGGCACAGGTCAGCTGCTGTTTGAGATGTGCAAAGGGGTCCGGAAGATGTTCCACTCCTGTGCTGCAACAGTAAGTTCCTTTAGATGCGTTTTAACATCCTTTCTTGGATATCAGACTTGAACTTATCAAATATTTTAATGGCAATATAAGGATCAAACCTGTGAGCTACACACAAACAATAAAAAAACAACATATTTTTAACTAATGGGAAAGGCTAAGTATTTAATTTGTCTTTCTGAAGATTTGCTATTTGCTACAGCTGTTTTCAATCCAATCCACTTTATTTATATAGCACATTTAACAGCAGAAAAAGTCTCCAATGTTCTGTGCATAACAAATAATAAACAACAACACAACAATACATAAACACAATACAACAATAAATAAACTAAAAAGGACACAGAGGACCACACAAACTACACCTTGTTAAAAGCCAAAGAGTAAAAGTGGATCTTAAGACGAGGCTAAAAACACTCCACGGTAGAGGCAGTCTTGGAAATATTGTGTGGGATGGTGTCACCATGGATAAAACCGTCCACTCCTCTTTGCAACATTGCTTCAACTAAGTGAATTTGTGTGCGATTCATTGATCCAAAGCTTGCTTAACACTCTTCTTGGTCAAGTCAGGCCAGTTTTTGAAGCCATTCTTGTGGATTTGTCTCCCTGTCAATCAGATTCATTTACTCTCATCTGTTTGTCTGTCTGGCCTCACATTTAATGCCCTATTCAAAACTTTTTTTTTTTTAAGAAAGGCGTTAACGGTAGACTAAATTGGTGCAAAGAAGTATATTTTCTTTGGTTACACAATAAGCCCATATCATCCGCCTCCACCACCATGCAGGGCAGCTGGAAAGCCTTTTTTTTTTATAACTGGTTTAATGGTTTGAGGGTTTTACCAGACATCTGAGTTGTTCAAAAGTACTTGCTCCAAATGTCTTACGGTTCATTTAGATGCATCACAAAGCTATGGCTGCTTTCAGTGTTAGAGAAGCAAAGCTTTCTGGATGTTTTTGTGTTTCATTTTTTGTCCATCATTCAATCATTGTTTATATTTTCCATCAGTTGAAAAACCTTGTTGTGGACTAAACATGAAGCCCTTCCTAATTTCTTGGGATGTTGGGAATCCTTTTTGTTTTTATTATTATAAATTTAATCATTTTTGCTGTCATTTTAAATTTGGCATTAAAAAAAAAAACATCATTCAAAATTTTCAACTGTTTTTAATCATGGTACCCCAATTTTTTCCCCATCTTCTCAAGTTGCATTAAAAATGTCATAATTTTTTTTTTTTTTTTTGATTCTTAAAAGAGTTACTAGTTTTTTATTTTAATAGAATGGAAGAGAAACATAATATTTAACATCTTGTGTGTATAAAATCTGCTGAACACTCATTCTCATAATATAGTTAAACATGGCGGTGGCAGCGTGATGCTCTGAGCAAAGCTTTAATGTGAAGAAATGTTGAAAAATTCAGCGGGTATGAAAAGTTTTTAAACGTGAAGGGAGCAGACATCTTTGGAGGCTCTGATCAGTACGCAGCATCTCAAGTTATCATTCCATTCTCTGCAGGCTCTTCCTGTTGCCTGGAGGAAGCTCGGCTCCACAACCAGCCAGGGGGTCTCTCTACCTTGGGATGCTGTCAGAGATGCTCTCGATCACATGGTCCAGGCTGCGGCTAATTATGTAGACAGGGAGCACTTCCTGGTTTTATGGGATTCGCTTCAGGTAAGATTGGTTCTACTTCTTATTGGTTGTTTAGCTATACGGGGTGTGACTGGATGCCTGTCTGTTACAGGCCAGTGTGGAGGAACTTTCAGACTCTGTGGGAAAAACAGATGAAGTGGGATCTGAGGCACTGGAGCAGCTGGAGAGGCTGCTGTTTGTTCTCCACACCCTGGTGTCCCACAGAGACGGAGCTAAAGTCACCAAGCCGGAGACCGTTACCAAGGTACGGAGTCTTTGGATTGTTTAGTTAATAAGGTGTCAAAGTGTTCCCATTTGAAGGTTGACCTCTTTTTGTGGCTCTTCAAACTTTAGATGGCTGTTCGGCTGATTGACATCTCCTCCCGGTCAGTCTCCTGCTCACGTCTACTTCTCCAGATCACCTCCTCTCTGCTGCTAGGGGAGAACATCCACCTGCCCAATGCGCTCATACAGGAAACCATCCAAAAGGTTCAGATCTTTGCCTAAAACCTCCGCTTTCATGTCCTCATTGTGTCTAATGTCGCTCCTTCTGCTCACTAGGTGTTTAACAGCAGGTTGGAGCAGGATCTGATTCTGGAGTTCACTAAGGAGATGTTTACCATGAAGCAGTTTGAACAGGTGGGTTTTAACCCAGTTTGCTGGATGCTCCTCGTTTCCAATCCTCTCTAACTAACAGCTCGGCTTGCAGCTCTTCCTCCCCAGCCTGCTACGCTTTACCACCGGGCTGTTCGCACACGGAGATGCCCCTTCACGCCACAGTGCACTCGATGTGCTGGTCAATCTGATCCTGGTCAAAGCCCCGCCCCCCACAGACGGTTCCATGGCCTTTGAAACGTACCCGCTTCTGTTCACCGGCCAGACCACAAGGTTAGATGTTGTCTTAATTTAACTTTAAACTTGATTGTCGCTGAAGGAACTCATTCCCACAGCTCTATACTGCCACCACTGTGCTTTAGCATGGGAATAATATATTAAAGGTTCTGGAAATTGTTAGTTTGTTGCCAATGCTTTGATTTTGGTGCCATTTCACTTGATCACATGATGCTAGTTCTGCAGTGAGTTAGCTAATGCCTGAGTGAATTGTGTATATTACTTGTTATTTATCTGTCAGAATGAAATACCCATGGCACACTCTTTAGTTTTTAAGTTTTAGTTTAAAAAAATAATAGATAAATGAATAAATTTCCAGTTTTATAACTGATAAAGTTTGTGAAATATTTTGTTAGTAGCTGCAAATCTGAAAAACATGTTAAAGGAGTGTTTACATGTGTTTTTGGATAACAGTAAGGAAGTGGAGCAGCAGACGGTACCAGAACTGGTGATTTCTCTGATCAAACTTCCAGAGGAGCAGACAATAGCTGATCTGTCGCTGCCTTGGTCCGCACTGGTTCTGCTGCCACACATCAGGTAAAACAGCCCTAAAATCACCTAAACAGAGCGACATCCCTCCCTAAAGGGTCTGATTTATTTATTTATTTTTTTAATACCTCTCTGTTTTTTAGACCTCTGTCAGCGGCTACGGTTCTCCCCACTGTGGCGGCTTTTTTGAACTGCATTCTCCGTGACATCGAGGCAGAGAAAATGGGAAAAGGTTTGCGTATATTTGTGGTTTACTTCTCAAGTGCAAAGTCTAACATTTTTTAACTCTGATTGTGTTTTCGTCTCCTTCTAGCTGCCTTGTTTGTAGCCAGACAGGCTCTGAGCTGCCTCCTCTCATTGGACACCTCTGCCCAGCTGCTCTCGCTGGTTCCTGTAGATAAAGTCCATTCAGTCCTGCAGTAAGCGCCGTCTCTATATTTAAATCGTTTTGCGTGTCTTCTTCCTCTTTTAATGTTGTCCACATCGTCGCTGCAGGAGGTTCCCCACGGATGCGTCGGCTCTGCTGCTCGGTGACCTATACTACGCCCGCCTGTCGCTCAGCGGCGCATCAGAGCATCTGTCCCACAGCGCGTTGCTGCAGATCTACGACACGCTGCAATCCAACCTCTCCTCAAATATTTCCAATGTTCGTTTCTAATTAATAAAAAAAAGAACAACTTCTAAATCTATAGTTTGATATCCTCTGTTGAAGTTTGCAACATTTCCTTCTTGCAGATCCGCCTGCTTACTCTGAGGATCTTATCCCAGTTTGAGGCAGAGCTCCCAACGCAGATGGAGGTATTGCTGCTGATTGAGCCTCGCTGCTTTATTAAGCGCCTTAAGACTGCCACTGACTTTTTTATTTTTATTAACTTTTATCCAGGAGGAGGAGAGCGTGGAGGTCCAGTCGGTGTTCTCCTCTTGCCTGCTGGCTGAGCTGGTGCCCGCATCGGTGCAGGACTACAGGGAGAAGCTGCTTCACCTCCGGAAGCTGAGGCACGACCTGGTGCAGCGGAGCCTCCCGCTTGGGCCGCCGGGAACCTTCCAGCAGGTAAACGCACAGACTGCTCTCCTTTCTACTTAAAAAATAACCAGTGATGTTTGTAGAAATGAGCTTCTTCCAAGACAATATTTTGTGCTTCTTCTTTAATCACAATAAACCAAACATTAAAACCAGCTTTCTATCTCCTCAGGTCCCTCTGAGGTACCTCATCGCCATGCTGTTTGTCAATTTCAGGCCGCTCTGGGATCCAGTCATCGAGCTCATTGTGTGAGTACGGCTCAGTTCTAACACTTTTAGGCCTTTATTTGTGTCGTTTGCCTGCAGTTTTCTGTAGAGTTGCTGAAATTGTTTTCTCCTTTTTGTTCTTCTGTCAGGAGCCATGCTAGAGGAATGGAGAACAAGGACTTCTGGAGGGTTTTTTATGAACATCTGGCGTTGGTGGCAGACCTCGCAGGTGAAGAGTGGAGATTTCATTTGCTTTTCACTGTTATTTTTTCCCCATTAAAGCTACATATACCAACATATGTGTTGTTTTATATGTTAGACTAACAGAATGTAGAAAAGGTTTAAAGAAAAAGAAGCATTTCCTAATTTTTTTTCAAACCAGGCTCTAAAAGCTGTCCATAATCGCCTTTCCTATTTACAGAGAAGGAGCTAGGTGTGACTGACGAAGGTGCCGCCGTCGAGAAAGAGTCTCCCCCACCTGCAGAGCCTGGCTGTGATGTCATTGAAAGCGGAGACGTCGGAGTGCTGTTCCTGGATCAGCTCAAGATGGCCTCCGAAGCCGACGAGAGAACCGACTTCCCCAACTTCCGCAGCCTTCTGTGGCGAGCCATGGAGCAGTTCGCCGACAGGGTGGAGCCTCGAAGCAGAGAGCTGAGCCCCCTACTGCTCCGGTTCATCAGGTTGGTGCTCCACTGCGCTGAGTGAGCGCTTCTAAAAACGCTTGGAGTGACGCCTGTTTCTCTGGCAGGAATGAGTTTTATCCCGCCGATATGCTCGTCGCTCCCACTCAAGACTTGAGGAAAAGAAGGGAAACCGTCAACGAGGAATCAGAGATGGAAGAGGGGGGAGAGGAGGAGGAAGAGGAAGATGCCGGCAAGGAACAGAGGAAGACGCTTCCAAGGAGAGCTGCTGCAAAGTAAGAACCCAGAATCTCCTGGGGTTTTCTATTCCAGAAACAAATCGCTGACTGATGAATGTTTTCTCTTGCAGACAGCTCATCACCCATCTGAAGGTGTTTGCTAAATTTACCAACCCTCGATCTCTATATCTGGAGAGCAGCCTCAACGACCTCTATAACCAGGTATCCAAAATTAGTATTTGCCTAAATATTTATTTTAATACTGTTAGAGGCGGTCTTCCTCTGCAGAATGTTTTAGTTGTGAATATTTCCTTCTCACCACTGATGCTGCCATTTACTGACAAAAAAATTAACGTTTAATTTCCAATATTCCTTTTTTGTTGAGCTGAAATCTTAAAAGACCCAAACTTTATTTTTCAATTAAGCATGAAAATTGTCCAAAGACAACTTTCCTCTCTTTCCAGCTGAATCTGTATAGTTGTTGTTTTTCTAAGCAGTGAAATAATCTCTCCTTTTTATTTATTTTTTTGTCTCAGCTGCTCTGCCATCAGGACCAGCAGATTCAGCGCGTGGCTCTGGAGTGTGTTCTCACCTTCAAAGATGCCAACATCGTCCCCTATAAGTAAGAAACTGTTTCCGCTTTTCTTAAAACCTAAACCCTTAAGGCTTATATCCTAAACTTTAACTACAAGGTGAAGAGATTGCTGCTGCATTATGCAGAGTAATGCATTGGAGACTTTGTGCGCAGGGAGAACCTGGAGCGACTTCTGGATGACAAACACTTCAAAGATGAGATCGTCCGTTTCAATATTTCTGAGGAAACGGGAGTAGTTGATGCTTCGCACAGAGGCCGACTGATCCCACTGCTCATGAGGTACTGGACATGATGGGGAGCTTAAAGAGGGGTTTTCTGCAAACTATTTGGGTATTACTCATCACTGAGATCTATTTTAATTCTATTTTTTTTTTTTTTTTTTTCTTTAAAGAAATCATACAGCTTTCAGATAACAGATCTATACTAAATAAAAAACCGCTGGGTAATGGAGGGGTTTTTAATGCTGCCTGCTGCTTATCTTTGTTTATATTTGCGTTTATTCAATTCATTTTATCTATATAGCGCCAATTCACAACACGTCACCTCAAGGCACTTTAAAGAAGCAATACTGTCAGATAGGTTAAAAGTTTCTGTAAAGGAAAACCAGTTGATTGCATCCAGCAACTAATTTATTTAGGAAGCTTGTGGCGATTATTTTTGCTGCATTTTGTCATCTATTCTTCAGCAATCCCTCATACTGAGCATGCATGCACTGCAAAAAAATTAAATTGAAATCTCATTTTTTCTTAAAATAAGTGCATTTTGTCTTGAACTGAGGAGGTAAGACACACTTTGCAGATGGAACAAGACAATTTATGTATGAAATGAGAAAAAACAATTGCATTGCCTTGTTACAAGTGCATATTATCTAATCATCTTATCTTAAGAGTAGAAATACTGATTCCATTGGCAAATCAACTTATTTTACTACAAAAATGAAGGCTAAATACACTTGATTTAAGAAATGTTTACTTATTACGTGTAGCATCATTTTTACAGTGTGTAGCGACAGTGGAGAGAAAAAACTCCCTTTTAACGGGAAGAAACCTCCAGCAGAACCAGGCTTGGTGTGAGCGGCCATCTGCAGAGGCCGACTGGGGTTCAAGGGGACAGCAGACATAGAAAATATAACTGTAAACTAGCTCCACAGGCGGCCCCGTCCAGGAAAGACACGATGAGGCGGACGAACTCCAAGCCAACTCTAGTCACAGCCTTTATGATATTTAAGCTTCATTCCAGCCCCATTTTAAAAAAGTACTTCTTGTCAATTTTTTGTTCTTCTAGTAGAATCTAGAAATTCGTGTAATTTTCTAACATATGACTGAAACAATTGTTTGCAGCTGTAAAAACAGAACTATTTTTTGTGTTATGTTTTTTCAAACAGAATATAGAATACTGTCATCAAATTCTTATCGATGTTTTCATGTTTAGTTTGGTGAGAAGAATATTTATAAAGTCTGTTAAAGATTCTTTTCCTCGTCGTTTGTGGACCAGGATCCTGTTTGGCCGCCTGCGCAGCAAAGCCGGCAGTCGGTTCCAGGGAAAGACGAGCGCCGCCGCCCGGTCCTCCATCGTTCTGCGATTCCTGGCTGGCAGCCAATCCGAGGAGCTGGGGATGTTCATCGATCTACTTCTAGAGCCTTTGTCCCATTACAGCCAAGGTAGGGCATCCAGAGTAACAGTTTAATGTTCATGCTTAATGTTTTTTTAACAGCTGCCGCTGCATTGCTTTTTATTCTTTTCCTTGAAAAAGTGGTTAAAAAAATCATTATGATAAAAAAAAAAAAACCTGTGATTTCATATAATTGACCAAGACGACAGTGCAGGATGATGGATTTGAAGGATAAGTAAAGATGGTTACAGAATGTTTATGCTTAAAAACAAAAAGTTCACATCGGCATTCTGCTGCCAGCTAAATACCATAAAACCATCTTTTGCTATCTTTTAGGGTCTAGCTCTGCCAGCTAAAGACTAAATCAGTGTTCATTCTTTGTAGACTCTCTCCAGCTGCAACAACAGGCTGTTTTTTACTGAGTTATCCTGCCTCTGTTGGTGCATCTCTGTCAGTTTGCAGCCATATTTACTTATTTACAGTAAATAGAGCTGAGTACAAACACGTGGAAAACAATCCATCGCTTTGTGTTAGTCTGTCTCATTATGTCTGAGTAAAAGAATTTGTTAGGTGGAAAATACTGACTATAAAATCATCCCTTCTGGTTGTCAGGATCCTGTCTGGGCGCTGTGGAAAAGGCCGTAGCTGACACCAACCTCGCTGCCGTCCTTCCTCTGGGCCGCCAGCACAGCCTCCTGAACATCATCCATGTTGTGCTGGACAAGCTGGGGCACCTCATCCAGGCATACCTGCCCAAAGTGCTGCAGATCCTGCTGTGTGTCAACGCCTCTGTGGGCACCATCTTGGACCAAAGAGACCAGGTAAGAAGGATCTTCTTCTTCTCTGATTTAAAAAAAATTTTTTTTGTAATGCATGTTTTATAGACATGAATCCTTTTGTCTAACAGCTGCGAGCAGGATGTGTCAGTCCTTTGAAGAACCTGAGGAGACTGGGGATCCTCAGAATTCAGGACTTCTTCGACACATTTGACTCGTACAGCTTTACCCCAGATGAGATCGACGCTGTTTTCCAGGCTGTCGTCTGGCCTCAGGTGCTCCTAACTTTTCCATTTACTTCCTGTTGATTTCACTCTTAACTGCGCTGTACGCTAACAATTAAAATCTGTCATGTGCAGGTGTGCCGTCTCCCCACAGAGAGCCCCTATTCCCCCACCCCTCTGCTGAAGCTCATCCACGTTTGGTGCAAAAACCCCAGGTCAGTGTTCTCGCTCTCCCTTCATTAATTTATTAATCTCAAAAGGTCATCCGACCCGTCAAGAGAGTTGGATTTCTATTTGTTGGCAGGTATTTTCCCCTGCTAGCCAAGCAGAGGCAGAACCACCCAGAGTGCGACATCCTCCTAAATGTCTACACCCTCCTGTCTGCCAAAAACGCATCCTCTTCCACCGTCACCATGGTGATGGACATGATCGAGGCCCTGGCGACCGCCAAGGATTTCGTCCCTTCAGAGGCAGAATCAGAGCTGAGCGTAAACGGCTGTGCTTTCCCTCTGCCTGAAGAGGGCGCCGTCATCGGAGAAGGTTGGGAATTTTGCTCATACTACAAAAACATTTGAAAATAAGTAAAAATTATTTTAAAGACACATTTTGCGACTTTTTACTTGAGTAAATAACTTGATTAGCAGACTGATACCTCAGTAGTTCAGCACCGATGCATCTATAAGCCTGTAGGCTATTTTCCTTAATTCACTTTGGGTCGAAGATTCTGCGGATGGAACATAACGTTAAATCAGTCCAACCTAGAAAACAATAAAAATGTTACATTCAAGAGGGATTTTGTGGCTACTTAGAAGCGACTGACATCTAGCCCAACAAAAAGTAAAAAGAAAAAAATATATATATTGTTAGGCATGAGCGCGAGCGAAGTGATCAAGCAGAAGAGGGCTGCAGTTCTGTGTTTTGTCTGGTTATTAAAGTATCACTAAAAAACTCTATCCTGCCTCTTTAAAAAAAAAAGAAGTAAGGTAAGGCTAATTTATTTGTATAGCACAATCCAGTACAAAGACAATGCAACGTGCTTTACATGATTAAAATATTGGAAAATAAATCCTGCCTCTTTAAAAAAGTAGATTAACCCTTCATTTTAGCAGCTAAATAAGATGATCTAATGTGATGAGTATTTTTTCCTTAAAATAAGATCATTAAATATTACGCCCTTAAAATAAGATAATAAAGATTTTTCTTATATTAAATACAAAAGATCTTATTCCATTGGTAAATTGTCTGACTTACCTCCTCAAATCATGGGCAAATTCACTTATTTCCTATGCTGCAAGAAAAATCTAAAAATAAGTAAATACAATATTAAAAGTTTGTTTGCCCTTAATCTGAGCAGGTTTAAAAGATGTTTGTTGTAACTAAAATAACATAATTAGATTTTTTTTTTTTCTTATTTTAAATTAAAGTGTCAAACGTACCTGCTCAATAAAAAAAGCACTTATTTTAAGAATTTTTTTTTTTCTCTGTGCTCAAAGTATTTAACCTTTTCTTTTGTCTTTTTTTTTTTGTTTTTTCCTCCTAGAACCGTTACCTCAGGGCTCCAGACTCCTGCTGCCTCACATCTCCACCCTGCTGAGCTATTTCAGCAGGTTGGTTCGCAACAAGGACAGACTGAAGAAGAAGAAATTCAGAGCACAGGTCGCCAAAGAGCTCAACATCCTCTCCAAGTGAGTGCATTTAAATTAAGCTGCAGGCAGCTCTCTCTGTTTGAGTTGAGGTTGATCGTTGCATTTTCTCGTCGTTAGGGTGAGTCGGTTCGTTAGCGACACGGAGCAGAGCTCAGTGCTCATCAACCTGCTGCTTCCGTATGTCCTCAAAGGCAACAACTCTCAGGTGAGACCTGGCTTTTACACAGTGATGGCAGCGTCATGATGTGGGCAAAACACTGATAATATGTGTTTTGCAGCATTCTGAGTGTTTTTGCTCAAAGAGTTTGATGCGTTTGTCCTCAGGAGACGGAGATCGACCTCCTGGCTACCATTCAGAACCTGCTGCGCCGCAGCGTTCAGCCCTCTGCTTTCCTGCGCCCGATCGGCAAACTCTTCGCCATCATTCACAACAAGCTGCCCAGGCAGGCCCTCACCAATGTTTTCCAGGTAAAAAAAAACAAAAAAAAACACGGATTTACCCCAGTTAGGGCTACATGATGTTTTTAGTTGTTTGGTTTTCATAATTTAATCTTTTCGCTCAGACTCTGTCAGATCTGGACCCTTCACTCACGTACATCACAGATTTAGCCACAAAGGTAAGGATTCCTTCCTATGATCCGTACATCACAGCACGCAGCGCTGCAAACACATATGCTTTAATTCCTTCCGTCTAGCTTAACGCCTTCGACAGCCGACACCTGGATGAGATCTACTTCGACGTGCGGCTGACAGCCTTCCAGGAGGCGATGAAGCGGGTTAAAGAAATGCAAACTCTGGACCTGGACTACATCAGCACTCTCATCTACAACTGTTTCCATACATATGAGGTTTGTGGAGTTTCTAACAAGCTGCGGCTGAGAGGAAAATGAAGTGCTGATGAGTTAGATGACACTTTCGTCCCGTTTTTTTTTTTTTGTTTGTTTCCCTGTACTGCAGATCGGTGACATGTCGCTGGGAGATAATGCCACTTTGTGTGTGTCTGCGGTGATCAGCCAGGTGGCAGCTGTCGAAGCTGGGGAGCAGATCTACAGAGATCTGATTCTACACATCATTCTGGATGCTGTCCACAAGGGGCTCCGCAGCAAATCAGAGGTAGGGGCTTCCTCTGTTAAAGTACCACAGCTTTTCAGACTGAATGCATTTGGATTTAACCCGTTCAGGCTGACATGTTAGCTCAGTTTTACTCGGATTGAACATCATTTTTCACATTCTGCTCATACCTTCTCAATTTCATTTTGGTCTGGACTTTGACTAGGCCGCTCAGACTCAGATATTAGTGAAGGTTGCATTGCAGTCGGTTTTTTCCGTCGCTACATGCTGAAAGAAGCGTTTTGGGTAATAATCATGTTTTATCCATTTTGTTTTCATTCAAAGCAACACTTTGTAGCTTTTAACTCTTGTACAAACTTATTTTTCGATATGTTAAATTATTTTTCAGGTCAATATGCAGCAATTGGTGCGTAGCAATGCTCCATAGAGGCTGCTCCTCTCAAAAACTTGCGTATTAAATCTGAGCAGGTCAGATCTGTCTCTGAAGGAATCATGTGACCCAGAGTGCAGCTCACTTTAGCTAACTAAGCTGAAGGATGTTGTTAGGAAATAAAAAAAAACTTTTGTGGTTCTCTGAAGTAGGATTTAATCTAGAGGGAGGGGAGTGAAGGTGTTCTCGTCTGGATACTGGACCCTAATTGGCTGTAGGGTGTCTTTGTTTCATTTAGTGACAGATCAGGGGCGCTAAACCTGATAAATATGATAAAATAAAAGTTGGCTTTGTTTCCACATGTCCTCTGTTTGAATCCACTGGAAAGTGTTTCTGTTTGTTGTCCACCAGAGCGTGCAGCATGAATTCACCTCCATCCTCGCCTGTCTGGTGAAGACCTTCCCCACTAAGAAGGACTTCAGAGACCTGGTGCAGCTCACAGACTACAACGACCCAGAGTCGGACTTCTTTGAGCACATGAAGCACATCCAGGTATGAGGCGACGCCCGCCAGCCGTCTCCTCCTCCATCTTTGGTACGACGAGCAACCTGCCGACGTTTGTTCTCCTCAGATCCACCGGCGAGCTCGCGCTCTCAGGAAGTTTGCCAAACAGCTGACCGAGGGCACGGTGGTGATGACGCCGCGTTCGCTCCAGAATTACATCATGCCGTACGCCATGACCGCCCTGCTGGATGAGAAGATGCTAAAGGTGATAAGTTTTATTATTTTTTGGGGATGTCAGAGTGCAGCTATGGTTTTGTTTGTCGTTTTAACCTCTCCGGTCCTCTCTTTACACGGCAGCACGAAAACATGACATCCGCCTCAGTGGAGGTTGTGGGAGCTGTGTGCCGGAAGCTGACGTGGTCCAAATATCTGTACTACCTAAAGCATTTCGTCCACATCCTGCAGACATCCCAGGCTGAGCAGAAACTGGCCGTCAGGTAGAATCAGTGTGAAGATTTTTTAGGATTTCTGAATTTTGTGATTTTTACGTATGAGGTTTGGCTCAACTTTCTGTCTTTTGTCCAAGTTTGCTGGTTACCGTCCTGGAGGCTTTCCATTTTGACCATCAGACCCTCAGCAGAGAAATGGAGGCCGCCAAAGCCAGAGAAGGTGAGAGAAAGAGGGTTAGAGATTGACTCTTCAGTGAAGATTTTGGATCGTTTTTATAATCTGGATTATGAGAGAAATTCAATAACAGAAAATATTGGCATATATAGTGATCCATCAATGTCTCTGATCGACAACAAATCCTTATTGACCTTTAACCTAAAAATAGAGTTTTATATCTTTGGTTTTTTTATAAATAGCCTTCAATATCTCTTCCCAGCTGAGAGTGTTGCCATGGATGCCGATAACGAGGACGAAGCTGCAGCTGACGAGCTAGATACCAGCGATGATGAGGAAGCGATGGAGATCGACGACAAGCCCGCATCCACTGAAGTCCCCGTGGAAACAGATGCCGCCACACAAGCCGAAAAAGAGGATAAACCAGAGAAAACAGCCTCAAAAGCCCCTACAAAGCCAGACCCCAGGATGACCCCCGTGGCTACTGGGTTACCCCAGAGCCGAGAGGAGCTGGAGTCCCTCATCGCTGCCATTCATCAGACTGTAAACGACAGCGTTCTGCCGCGCCTCAACAAGTGTCTCACTGCAAAGGTCCGACGCAACCAGATCAGAAAACGCCCCCCGGCAGCAGGAAGGAGCGGTTGATTGTATCGTTTTTCCCCTTCAGGTAACACGTGACGAGGAGCACAAAGCGGTGAAGTCTAAAGCGGTGAAGGACGAGGAGGTTGTGCGGATTCCCATCGCTTTCGCCATGGTCAAGCTCATGCAGACTCTGCCTACTCACATCATGGAGGCCAACCTCCCAGGGTATGCAGCAGGAAAACCAGCTTATAAATTATTTATGAGTCAATTTCACTCTCATTTTTCAACGTCTACCTTTCCAGGATCTTGATCAAGGTTTGCGTGCTGCTGAGAAACCGCTTCCAGGAGATCCGTGACGTAGCCAGAGCGACGTTGGTGAAAATCATCGAGACTCTGGGCTGCAGGTATCTGCAGTATCTGCTAAAAGAGATGCAGGGGGTTCTAGTCAAAGGCTACCAGGTAAGATGATAAAAAAATCTTAATTTGTCACATTAAAATCGTAGAAGTATTTGATTTCAACTTTGCAAATGGAAGAAAAAATGCATGCTGATTTTTCTGTTTTGTTTTTTTGCTACTTATTTTAAATTAATGTGTGAAAGCGTTTCCATGCTTGTGTTTGTATTCAGCTCACATGTCACTAACTTTGTAGAATAGTATGTGGCTGTGTCTATATGGAGTAAAGTTAGTTCCATTATTGTGGGAAGCAGAGATTTTGTAAATGAGCTTGTTCAATTTAAAAAAAAAGATTTTATTGGAAAAAAGGCAACCTAGAAATCCAATTTGAAAAGAATGACATTGGTAGATTTCAACCTGAAAAACAGAAATTTGAAAACAAAAATGAAAATATAAAGCCTGCAGAAATAAAACAAATCGATAAATCCAAAATAAAATTAAAAGATAAAATTTGAGCAAGGAAAAAATATGTTTTTTTGTGTTTCCATTTTCAAAATGTGTTCTGTGATTGCAATCATAATGGAACGAAAAATTCTCTTCATAATTCTCTACTGGCTTTCCACACTTAAAGACTGAAATGCTCTACTTCTTGTGCAACAATCCACAGAATGTCAATAGGATTTGGGTCTAGACTTTGACTGGGCCACTTTACCACACAAACATAATTTGATCCAAAGCAGCAACCTAAGATCTGAAGCCAATGAGCAATATCTGTCTCTGCTATTCTTTTTCGAGTTTTCCAGAAATTTGTTAGAAGGAATGCATTTTTTAAATAAATGCAACAGGAAGTATAGCCTTAGCGTTTCTAAGTGTTTTACAGTATATCTTCATGTATTTACCTCCACAGAATGATAGGATTGATCCAGAGGATCTTGTTTATCTGTGGCATTTATGTTTAAGCCGACATTATTTAGAAATGCTGGCTGACAAAAAGTGTTCCCACCCTCCTTCCGTTCAGGTTCACGTGTTGACGTTCACAGTGTACCAGCTGCTGTCTGCCCTCATTCCAACGCTGCAGAGTGGCGACCTGGACCCCTGCATGAACATGCTGATTGGAGTAAGATCCTCTGACCTCTGAAGCCTCCAGTTTTCTTCCTCTTGCTCCTCAGTGACGGCTTTTTCACTTTTATCCATCAGATCTTCAACAATGAGCTGTTTGGTTCAGTCGCTGAGGAGAAGGAAGTCAGGGGCATCGTTTCCAAGGTGATGGAGGCGCGACACAGCAAGAGCATGGACTCGTACGAGCTGCTGGCCCGTTACTGCAGCAAGGAGAGCGTTGCTAAGCTCATCCTGCCGCTGAAGGAGGTGAGGATGGGAATTATCGGTGTTGAAAATAAAAAGTTTTTTGGTTAAAAACACTTTTGTTTTCCATCCCACAAGATACTGGAGACTTCATCCAGTTTGAAGGTGTGTAATCGAGTGGCGGCTGTACTGCGGCGTCTGATCCTGGGTCTGCTGGAAAACAGCGGCATGAGCTCACAGGACATCCTGCTGCTGAGCCACGGTCTGGTGAGCGAGAGCCTGCCGCTGCTCACCAAACGGGACCGGTAAGAACGCCTTAACTCTCCTAAACGGACCCCAGAACCAGAACTCAATCTCATGCTGTGGGGGTCTGTTTACTTTTAGAGACAAGGCTTCAGCTGAGCCCCCCCCAGATCCCCGGCTGCCCCCTCCTAGCTGCCTGCTGCTGCCCCCGACCCCAAAGAGAGGAGGGCAGAAAGCTCCCGTCAGCAGCCGCACCAACATGCACATCCTGGTAGACGCTGGACTCAAGGTGAGCAAACCTACACAGCTGTCTCTTTCTCTCATCCACCATCTTAAACCACATCTTCTTTGTCCTTACAGCTGCTCCACCTCAGCCTAAAGAAATCCAAAGTGACTTCGTCTGAGGCGTCGACTCTGGAGATGCTGGATCCTTTCATTCAGCTGCTGATGGAATGCCTCAGCTCCATGCATGTGAAGGTACGAGCATTTCCTCGCTTCTGTTCAGATCCCTTGCTTCTCTCGCCTGACTTCCATCCCTGCCCTCACAGGTGATAACTGAGGCTCTGATGGCTTTCACCTGGCTGCTGAGGTTTCCTCTGCCAGCGGTGGAGCAGAACGCCCAGCAGCTGACCAAGCAGCTCTTCGTCCTTCTGAAGGATTACTCCAAAGCCGGTGCTGCGCGCGGGGAGAACTACCAGCTGGTCCAGAACTGCTTTAAGGTACTTTATTTAGTAATTTTTTTTAAACAACTGGTTTATCTCCTAACTTCTGAGTGCTGATGAAGTGGAGGCTTCGCAGGCGATGACAATTCTGGTGAAGAACATCAAAAGTAACAGGATCTCTGAGACGCAGCTGCAGGTGCTGCTGGGATACGCTGAGGAGGACATATACGATCAGTCGCGCCAAGCGACTGCCTTCGGCCTGCTTAAGGTAAGCGCTGCGAAAGCAAAGCAGAGAACGTCTTGAAATCCTCAAACTGATCCTAGATGTGTTTTTATAGTTAGTGGCTCAGGTTATCCTGAGATATCTCAATAGTTATGCTGCTATAAGCTTACACTGCCGGAGGACATGGGTACCCTTTTTTAATCATTCTGCTACATTCTTTCTCCATTCTCCCACTTTGCAGTATCTGTTAGTTCATAGTTTCTCATAGTAGCTCAATCTGATCTGTTCCTGTTTGGCTTTGACACCATCCTGGGGTGAAATTTCAGCTGTGCTGCTGCCACCAACACCTTTGTTTATAGATGTTCGAGCTCGGCCTGTTTTTCAGTGTAGTCCTCAGCAGATGGCAGCTCACACTAAGCCTGTTTCTGTAGGAGGTTTTTTTTTCCTGTTAAAAGGGAGTTTTTTTCTCTCCACTGTCGCTACAAGCATGCTCGGTGTGAGGGATTGCCTTGGAGTCAATGAGTCGATGCAATCAATTGTCACAACACATGTCATCTACCTTGAGATGACATGTGTTGTGAATTGGCGCTATATAAATAATCTGAATTTAATTTAATTTTCCTTTATTTCATCCAGGCAATCCTGTCCAGGAAGCTGGTCGTCCCGGAAATGGAGGAGGTGATGAGGAAAGTGGCCAGGTTCTCCGTCACGGGAGGGAACAACATGATCAGAACCCACTGTCGACAGGTAGAAGCTTGCAGACGCATGTTTTCCCGCTGCTTTTTGTGGAGACTTATGGTGTCGCTCTGTGTGCTGCAGATCTACCTGAAGTACCTGCTGGACTACCCTCTGGGCCGGAAGCTGAAAGGCCACCTGAGCTTTGTGGTGGCCCAGCTGCAGTACGAGCAGGACACCGGCAGGGAGTCGGTGCTGGAGCTGCTGGCCTCCATCTTCCAGATGTTCCCTCAGGTGAGGAACACCTCCTGGTTCTTTTCTCTCAGACCAAACAGCTAACGTGACATATGAACGACGTTCCCCTCTTGCCCCTCAGAATCTGCTGCTGAAGAACAGCAGCCTGTTCTTCGCACCACTAGCGTTGGTCGTGGTCAATGACGATTCAGTCCGCTGTAAGAAAATGGCCGCCATGGCTATTAAGACACTGCTTGGTCAGCTTGACGTAAACCACCAGAACGGGCTGTACTCGCTGGTCAACGCCTGGCTTACAGCGGAAAAGGTACGGAAAGTATTTACACCCTTTGATGTTTTAGTTTTAAACATTTTCTGACGTTTTTCTTGTCCTCTTCAGTCCACCATGCGGCGCCTCGGAGCTCAGGTTTGCGGCCTGTTTGTGGAGGTGGAGGAGGAGAAATTTTCCCGGCGAATGGACGACCTTTTACCATTGCTGGAGAAAGAAATCCACCCTGATGCCTACGAGGATGTGAGTGAAAACAGGAGATCAGTCGGATGGAAATGGTTTTAAAAAAAAGAGGAAAGTAATGGATGGGTTTGTTGTTCACAGATCTCGGAGGAGGAGGAGGAGAAAGGAGCCGACAGGCTGCTCTTCAGTTACCTCACTCTCATCTCCAAACTGAACAAACACTGTGGTTTTCTGGAGCTCCGCAATCCTCACCAAACGCTCCTCCACATCTGGGGTAAATATCTGCCGGCCTTCTTTTTGTTGATCTGAACGAGCAGTCAGTCTGAACGCCTCCTGAATCCCACCTCAGGTCACATTGAAGCCCACCTGCGCCATCCTCACTGCTGGGTGTGGCTCACTGCCTCGCAGCTGTTTGGTCAGCTCTTCGCCACCCAGCCAGCGGAGCAGCTGGTCGCCATTTGGAAAGGACAGGAAGGGGACGCCTCGTGTCGCCCTGCAGCCATTGAATTCATCACCAGCGACTTGGACAGGAGGGTGAGGCCACAATCTTTTAATTTTCTTTCATCAGAGTTAAATTCCTGTTTCTCATCAGCGCTCTCCTTCCGTTTCACATCCAGATGAGAGAGTTGGCTTTAATTTTCTGTAGCCAGCTGCAGTCTAAGTTCTTGGACACGGCATCAGGAGAGCAGGTGCTTAATTTTAAACACTTTAGCTTTAACTTTTATTAGGATTTGTTTCTATTTATAAATGCCTTCCTGTCTTTGCAGGTGATCAAAAACCTCCTCTTCGTCGGAAAGGTGATCTACCTCATATCCCCAGAGTCTGACATCACCACACTGGAAGGAGAGAAGCAGAGCGAGGTTGAAAACGGAGGGGATTGTGATCCTGATGCTGAAGAAAAGGAAGAGATGGAGGAGGAGAACGATGATAAAGACGACGACAAGCCTCCTTCTTTGCTGTGGCTCATGAAGAAGCTGTCTCTGATGGCCAAGAGAGAAGCAGCTTACGCTCCTAAAGTTCCTCTCAAGGTGAACAGATACAACCTTACTTTGACTAGGCCTCTCTAGCAGATGCACGTTTGATCAAAATATCATAGGGAGGACTTTATCATCTTATCCTCAGTGAAGGTGTTCCCCAAGGCACGGCTGTTGGACAACTATCACTTCTACCTGACGACTAGATAGTCTCAGCATGCTGCACCATTGGTCCTCAAAATGGGATAATAGAGACTCAATTATTATTAAATCAGCTTAAAAGGTGGGGAGGTGGGGGGGGGGGGGGTTCAGTTGCAGCTAAAATATTTTAAATATGTTTGAAAACTTCTGGAAGTTTGCACCATAAAATCCTAAAAGAATTCATCGAATTTTGCGTTTAGTTCCATAAAACTTGAAGAAGTTGAGGCCCTTTGTAAAAATTTTTGGAGGTAACAGTCATCCTCTGCTGACATTTGATCATCTGCTTCATCCAACAGAGAACCTGTGTGTTTAAGTTCCTGGGAGCCATAGCAGTGGACCTTGGGAAGGAACGCCTCGGTCCCTACCTCTCCACCATCATCACTCCTCTATATAGAGAGCTGGACAGCACATACGCTGAGCAAGGTCTATATCTGACCAGGTGAAAATCAAAAATGACACCTCCATGGAGACTTAAATCCTTGTTTTTCTCTTTTTATCCAGATCCAACCCTGAAAAACTTGGCACAGGAGCTGATTGAGCTTCTGAAGAAACGGGTAGGGCTGGAGAGGTTCTCCCTGGCCTTTTCCGCAGTCCAGAGGGAGTTTTCACAAAGACGAGCGGCTCGGAAGCGACACAGAGCCATGCAGGTACAGAGGACACCACACCTGAAAGTACGATGACTTCCCTGTACATCAGCTTTAATGTCCATCTTTAACTACATAGGCAGTGGCAAACCCAGACATCGCTGCCAAGAAGAAACTCAAGAAGCACAGGAATAAAATCGAGGCAAAGAAGAGAAAGATCGAGTTTCTGCGACCTGGATATAAAGCGAAGAAACACCGAAGCCATGCGCTCAAAGACCTGGCCATCATGCAATAGCTTTTTACACCTCTTAGATCTTATATTGTTACGTCTATAGATCTAATGGATTAGAGTGGAAAAAAATATACAACTATTGTCATTCAGCAGGATTTCCTGCAGCGTTTTCACATTTAAAGCATGTAAATAACAGACCAGAGACTGTTTTATCCCCTCTGCTATGAATCTGTACAATTTGAATAACCTTGTGCTACATTAAAGTTTTGTAAATGAAAAAACTAAACCAACCTGTTTACAGAAGATTGTGGCATTCATTCATAAGAACATATTTGAAATAATTTTAATGTTTTAGAAAAGGAGTAATCTGAAACTATATACCCGACTGTGGTTTAAAAGGAATTATCTTCTAAACCTAATTAGTTGTGCCAGTCTGGGTGAAAACAAATTGATTTTGGATTAACTTAAAAAATGTTTAAATCATTCTGGGGAAATGTGGACCAAGGTCACAAACCGAAAATAATTTCTTTCAAATATTTCACTTGTTGCTTAAGTTTTCACCTTCACCATCTCTTTAATCGATTGTGTTCTCTTCCAGAAAATCCTAGAAATAAGTATACTCAGCCATCAGTTTCTCTAAACCTCTGCAGGAGCAGCAGGTAAAATGGTATTAAAAGGTGGAAAATGTGTGAGGATTCCTTATCTTTCTGTAGGGATAATAGGATTATTTTCAATGTTACATCACCAGATGTCCAAAGATACGTTAGGTTCAAAATGCTTTCACAATCTGAAAATTTCTGAGGCCAAGCCCCATACTCACTTAATTGGCTGAGTTTTTATATATATATATATATATAAATATAAAATACTCATAACTGCTAAATGAAATGCTTTAATTCAGCTTGAATGTTTCACCAACTTTAAACATTAATCTAAATGACATTACTTCTAGGTATGTTTTTGTATGAACCATTCCTCTACGGGGAGGGCTGATTATAAGGCAGATTACTCAATTTAAAAATCAAAAAATGGGTTAAAGAAATCACATCAGATTCATCAATAAAAGGTAAAATCATAAATTCAGGACTAAAACACATCCTTGGTAATATCTGTATTAAATTATCTTAGAGAGAAACCCTCAGATTGACAGAAATTGTTTAGGAATCCAACAACCCTAACAGCATTTAACCATGTTTTTAACTTTGAGGAATAAAAAAAAAAAAGTAGAATCAGTCCTGATACAACAACCAACTGCATTCTTTATTTAGAATCATTTTTTTCTGTACAAGCAGGTATAAATATGCAGCCATAAAACTTTGAGAGTACAGTTAGTGTTCATTAACTGATGAACTAAAATACCGAGGCTGCATCCGAGGAGTCCAACCACTAAAACCAGTGACACAAGGATCAGCAGGAAAAATAAATCTGTGACAGAAGCAGACAGCCCAAACTGCAGTGACACCCAGTGGAAAGACTGGATTCAGAAACTGAAACATAACCCAGGTTTACTATGTGATACCCCAACAACTCTTAAAGAAATTAAAGTTATATTCAGGGATTCAATGTTGCCGTTTCAACAAGTAATGTTCTGGCTCCCCCTTGTGGACACTCTTGATACCGACATAAGGACACATTAAGTACAATTTGTAGGCAGAACAGGAGTTGGTTCTTAGAAGGAAAGCTGGCAGGTTTTCTCGTGATTTATTTTCAAAATATCTGCAAACTCCAGATGTTACTGCAGCCGTCTCGTCTCAGTCTGGCAAGAGGTTAGGAGGAGCTTGTTCAAGGCCTTGTGTGGGTATGAGAAAGGAGGAGGAGTGCAATCATGGTCCAAAGAAAATGTGGGAAATGGGGGCGGGGTAAGTCACAAGGCTTCGAAGCAAGGGGTCAGAGTTTAGGAGTATATACAAGATGAGGGCATGTCTTTTCACTGCCGACTCTTCAGAGCATCCACCAACCTGTGAGGAGACAGCAAATATAAATCAGCAAGAGTAAACAGAAAAAAATAACAGTAGGCAGAACGAGTTGGTCCTGCTCAGCAAGATGTAGCATAAAGAAGTTTATTTCCCTAATCTTCATAGGGAGGCTTACCACTCCATGGCTTCATCCAGGCCTGTTCCTTTAGTGGCCGAGGTCTTAAAGATCTGCCATTTTCTGTCTTTGAGGGCAGGAAGGCCCAGAGCGTTGGCTACTTCAGTCGGCGTCATCGCCTGGTCCATGTCCTGTTTGTTAGCAAACACCACCAGGATGGCCTTCTTCAGCTCTTCTTCCTGCAAACGACCACACACAGCATCCCATGATTACATTATCAGCAAAGGCCTGATACGAAAAAAGAAAAGAACGTTTCTGGCAATAAATCTGTTTGAAATAATGTCCATCTGCAGGCTAAGAGCTTTTAGCTAACAGACCTCAACTGCCAAGTTACTCTGACCTCCTCAATTAAAACCCAATGAACCAAAGACCTCAAGCAGAAAGCTGGGAACCAGATTCCACATCTGATAAAATCTCATTTTCAAACCTCAACCAGCCTATTTCGTTTTGAACAGATTAGCCAACCTGTAAAATCCCGTGTTTCAGTTCCTGTGAGGATGCTTCTCTTTATCCGGTAAGGAAAAGCTGGTTTATTCAATCTTGAAAATCCCAATTAAAGACGCAAGTCTATAGGCTTCAAAGTGAAAAAACACGAGAAGGGGGGCAGATACTTATGTCAGCCATAATAAGTTACATCAAACTCGGCCGCAGCTTTTACAGAGCAGACTTAGACAAACTTTGTCATTTTTTTATACACAGTGTTTACAAAACTAAATTTTGTTTATACAGCTTTCCAACAGCGATTGTTTTTTTTGAGCAGCAGCTTAGCAGTGAAAGAGAACCATAAAGTGCAGCAGTGATCAAAATATGAACAGTGTGGGAGAGACATGGTGCAAAAAAGGCATTGATGTGAAAGGTTCAGAGCAGTGCAAAAATAAATATATATATATAGGGTTTAAAATGCAGTAATAAACATGAGTTGAGTTCTATTTTGAAGATTCACCATGTAGTGTAAGTATGATGTTATAAGTGTGATGCAGAGTCTCAATTTGTAACTTGATTTAGAGTTTTTTTCAACAGTTCAACAGTCTGATGGCAGTGGGGAAAAGGCTGTTACTGGACTTGCATTGAACGCTGCGAAACCTCTACCTAGAGGGCAGCAGGGAGAACAGTCCATGATAGGGATGTGAGTAGCTTAATGTGGACAGACATACCTCCAACATTGCCACCAGCTCAGACTTGGAGATGCCCATCCTGTCACGGTCGCTGCTGTCCACCACGTAAATCACTGCATCTGTGTTTGAGTAATAGCACCGCCAGTAGGGCCTGAAGAGGGCAGAGAAGCAATGAGTTACTAAGAGTGATGTTCAAAGTTAGAACATGTAACGCATTGGCTGTGTGAAATATGTAGATATATTTTAACTGTCACATCTGATATGCTAGATATAAATACAAAAAATACTTTCATATCTATTATAAGAATCTATTCTTGATGCACACATTTCCAGAATTTTTCAACCTACCTGATGCTTGTCTGTCCTCCAAGATCCCATACTTGGAACTTCAGGTTCTTGTATGTGACCGTCTCCACGTTGAAACCAATGGCTGCAGAGGAAAAAAAAAAAGTGTCAAAAAAATGTGTCTAATAAAAGCAGGAAAAAACAAGTAACTCATTTTGATTCAGATTATGCTCTAAAACTATGGCCTCCATAAATAAGTTTAATCTAAAAGTGCTCTGAATAAGGCAAATTTAAAGAAAAACGTATTTAATAAACCCGTTGTCGGAACTGAAACATTAAACATAAATATGATCAAATTATTTTTCTGTCATGCAAATTTTTACCTTTAGGCTGATATTGATTTATAGGAAAAGTGTCATTTGAAGAGATATGGAGTCATGGCTTTGCTTATAAACAGGAAACAGCAAATTCACCACAGGTTGGTTGTTTATGTTATTAATTACAAGAACTGATTTAGAGTGGGTTTAATAAATGAGACCAAAGATTAGAGAACTGCAACATCAGTGTTCACCTAGTGAACAAAATAATCTCTTTGCTTTCAGGTTTGTTATTTCGCATTGATATAAATCGATGATCCAAAGGTCTGAACATAATCAAGAACTTAACTCATCCTTTTTGTTTACCCAAATACTTTGCTAAGATCTGATCTAAACTGTAAACAACTTTAAGATATTGATTAAACGTATTTACATGAAAGAAATTGTTTGGAAAAAACAATCTGCACTCACTGATTAAAGGCCTAAATATAACTGGCTGACATATGTTGTATAAGAGTCCCTGCATTTTGGCTTAATTAATACAGAATTGTATTCAAAATCCTAATGAGAGATCTTTTTCTTTAACATATATGCAGTTAAAGCTGCATATATTAAATTGAATTTTAAAATCTTTATTAAACGTTGCATCAGGGTCGCTGCCAATCTCCAGCCAGTCTACTGGTGAGAGGCAGGGTACACCTTGGTCGCCAGTCTGTCTAAGGGCAATCAATCAATCAATACCAAAGGGAAATTAATTCTTTTAAGTTGTTTCTTTTTTCAACAACTTGCTGTAGAAGCTAATATCTGTAGGGAGGGAGGATCTCCTGTAGCAGCCTGACTACACCAGCTCTCGAGAAGCATTTGTTGTTGTTTTTTTTTTTTTTTACAGTCTGATGAAGATAATGCTCACTGTCTATGATGTTGCTTATTTTAAGAAGAATTCTTCTTTGTGAAATAATCTCCAGGGGTTTTAGAACAGAGCTTGCCACCTTTATTAGCTTGTTGATGAATGATAAAAATGATACAATGATAACAGTTTTATGTTAATGATAAGATTAAGCTTGTTTCTCTTTTTTCTGAAAACTACAATCCTTTCCCTTGGTTTGTTAACATTCAGGATCAGATGATTGTTTCCACAACACGCATCATCCAAGTATTACTGCAGATGACAGGACTCTGAGGTATACAGAGTAAAAAGAAATGTTTCGAGTACGGCCCCTGTGGTGCTGCTGACTACTTGTTAAGACACCTGAACCTTTAGTCAAGCAAACTGTGGTCTGTTTGTGAGGTAGTATCTGATCCAGGTGATTGTTGATGCCTCCTCCTGATTCTTCTGAAGTTTCTCATTAAGTAACTCAGGCTGCATCGTGTTCAATGCACTGGACTAATCAAAGAACATGATCCTAACAGTCTGTCTGCCTTGTTTAATAGAGAGTTTAGTCCATGATAAGCAAGCCATAGATTAGTGTAAGACACCATGTT